TGGCCGGCCTTCTGCCCTCAGCCTCTGAGGAAGGAACCGTTGGGACCTACTGCCCATGCTTCATGTTAGGAGCAACTGTGTAAAACACGCTTTATCACTTTGCACAGTTTAGGATCCCACAGATGGGATTTTTTTTTTTTTTTTTTTAAGGAATAAGATGTCTGGGGTCTACTACTGAATTGTAAGCCTTTGAATAAGCAAGTTCATATTTACCCACTTTGGCAAAAAGTGGGCTCCCGGGCCTGGCTTTGTCTCTCATTGTCTGTAGGACCTTTACTTCAGTGAATCTCAGTTTTCTGATCTGTGAAATGGAGATGAGAATGGTACCTTGCTCGCAGGGCCGCTGTGAGGACCGGGTGACAGATTCCCGTAAAGCACTGAGCACAAGGCGTCGCACTCGGTAAACGCTCAGCCACCGTGCTTAGCTCTCAGCTGTCTATTGGGGCACCTGCATGGCCACTTGCAATACTCAGAACTGTTGGGATCTGGGCTGAGGGGAAGGTAAAGCGTATTTCTGAATCCTACACATTTCACGCTTATGCAATATTTTGTTTCTGTTGCTTATGCTTTTGAAACCAATGGTGGACATTTCTTTCAGTTTTCCTGAAGGCCAGCAGGAAAGGGCCTCCCAGGGGAGTCAGTGCAGCTTGCTGAGGTAGAGAGCAACCCTTCCCATTTGACGGGAGTTCGGCCTCTGAAAACAAGCCCCTCAAACTCCTCCAGCACCAGCCTGAGGAGTGGGCCCCTCCTTCCCAGGGCCCCTGTGGGGTGGCACTCACTCGTGCAGCAGCAAGTCCTTGAAGTGAATCATCTCCGCCATTACCCGGGTGTTCTCCTGGGCGGCAGAACACAGGTCGTGTTTGAGGTAGCATTCCCGTTGTAACTGGAACACCATTTCCTTAATGGCAGGGCACTTCCGGCTTATGCAGCCGAATCTGAGCCGCAGAGCGTGGGCCTTACACTTCAAGGCATCTTTGATGAATGATTTGCCCTGAGAACAGAGGGGACAGAGAAAAGAGAGAGGGGGGCAAAACAGACAAGTCCTGGTCGGACGCTCAGACATTCACACTTCATGGCCTTACACAGGACTTTTGTTTGAAAACTGAACCCCAAGGTCCTGCCTCAGACTGCCGTCCATGCAGGCGGCAGGCTGATGCTCCGTCAGGAGGTATGTCCAGAGTGACACGATAACTCCGGCATTTGGCCAAAAAGGATGTTTCTTCGGGAGACTAACAAATCTGCCTCCTTCCTCCCCAGCTGCTCTACTAGTTTCCCTTGTTCTGGGGCTTCCGTGGCCCTCTGACCTCCAGGCAGCCCAGGGTTGGCTGTTTGGTGGCAACTTTTCTGGAACACAAGGGGAATGTGGCCATACGTAAATCCTGAACTCCCAGCAAGAGCGTTTCCCAAGTAGAAGGTGCCTGCTGATCCAAGTCTCACACCACTGCTTTTTCCTCTGACCCCATGAGTGGCATCAAGATTGGGTGCTATCTGTGCCTCAGGGCCTCCCACCGCCCCCAACCCATATACTTATGTCTCCTCCTACCCTTCAAGGAGGAGCATTCTTTTCCTTTTTGAAAACGATCCGACTCCTTTAAACTGTTAGGATTATTGCCTCTAAAAGGCCCGCCTGGCACACTGCCTGGCAGCATCTGGAGTCTGAACTGCCCAACTGACAGCCCCTCCCCCACACCCCCTGCCTCTGAGTGGCTAAGGCAGCCAGGCATACATCTGGCCCACAGTTCTCTTTTCTGGCAAGCCCATTAGATTGTTCTTATCCTAGAAAGGAGACAGCTGTTGGGGGTGTGGAGGCAGGCCCGGGCGTGAGTTCCCTTATCAACCTCTCAGGGCAGAGAGGCATTGTGGGATACCTACCTAGGGATCCCCATTCCCCCATTACTATAGAAACAAGCTGTCATTGGAGAGGTCACCCCTCTGTTTTTAGACAGGCCTGGAAGTAACTGAGTGGAGACAGAAAACGGGTTTAGGTTGGAAGTGGGAAGCCAGCCAGCACATTTAATTCAGTTCTTCCTTTAGAAGCAACTGAAATGTCTACAGATAGTGTCTGGTTGCTGAAAAAACCCCTCCCCATGGCCCTTTTTGCTCTGACTTTCCAGTGGGAGCCAAAGAGGATGGAGGGTAGGGTGTGCCATTTATGAAGTAGTCACATGCTGGGAACCAGCTTGAAAGGGATGCTTCTCACTTGAGAACATACTCCTGTTGGTTGAGAGAAAAAGGAAGATTAATTTATTCGAGGGCTGCAGCAATCTGTTTTGGTATTCTTCCCTGACATCCTGTGGGATCGCCCTTAAATACACATCTTTCCTCCGGATTTCCTATTATGTTTCCTAATTCCAATTAATCCAGAAGGGATGCTTTATTAGGGGAGCCTGAGGAGTTCAAACGTTCTACTCTTTCCTTCCCTGGTTTCTGTTGCCCCTCCCCTGCCACCCCACATCCTCTGCAGCGCAGGTTGCCAGCCCTGTTGCGTCCCTTTCTGGTTCCCAAGCATTGCTTTGTCAGGCTCTCTATAGGATGGCAGTAGATGGTGACGGGTGGCATTCATAAGTCACACCATAACTGTTGGCCTTCTCCAAACGTTGCCCCCACTCTTCAATGACATGGGAGAGGAAGTTGATGAGATAGAACAACAGGGGCTTTGTAGTGCATATATGAGCTGGGGAGAACATGAAGAAGGTGAGCCTGATGCCACTTGCCACCTGAAATGTATTTGGATTGTCAGCACTGGAACCATAGGGTGGCTTGTTGGGTTTGTGCCCTGCCCCAAGCAACAGCTAGGCTTTTTTCACCCTGCCGACTCTGGGATAGCTGGAGTGGGTCAGGCGTTGTTAGAGGACTCTGTAGAGCAGGACTCATTCAGCATTTTTGGGTTGGGAGAGGACGGTCTGCTACTTAGGAGGAATAAGTCGGTTATTCTGGAGGCCCTGAATTATCCGTGTTGCCTGCTCACATACGCATTGGAGATGATGAGTTTCTATGAAGTTTGTGTCTCATTTATTCTTCCCTAATAGGTGAAAACAGGTCTTGGAATGTGTAATTGGAGTCCCTGTCCTCCTCCCATAAACCTACTGTCTCTAATGTGATGGGCCTTGCAGACTGAGTTCTGGGTGGCCAGACATAGTGTGTCCCTTTACAAGATGTTTATTATTTGTTATGCCTTTTGCGTTCTCTGCTAAGAATCCTTAGATGATTGTTCAACTTGCACTCCATCCCACTCTGCCTGTGTAGACACAGCTTAAGAGTGGAGAAGGATTTCACCACATGACAGTGCTGGAAAGCAGAACCCCATGAGTGGAGTGGGGAGAGACTGGCATCCTGCTGTGCACCAAGAATCTCTTGCAAATGCTAAAATACACCATAAAGATCAGCTAAGGAAACCTGTTCACAAGTCCTTCCAATGAACATTTCAGTCATGCAACGCCAACCTAGAACATTTTGTGCTCTATGTGGTTTTTACCTGGGCATCAAATTTTCCAGCGTTGTGCAGAAAAGTCATGCAAATCCCATGTAAGCCTCGAATCTCACAAGAGTTGTTCTCGAAACATTCAAACACACCACACCCCACATCGCCTGCGTTGACCAAACAGTGTTGGATTTCCGCTAAAATGAGAATTACATACAAATATATACAAAATTCTCAGCCATGCTGGGGAATGCAGAGGGGCCGGCTGAAATAAAAGTTAGTAATGACTAAGAGAAAACTGAAGAAGATAAAGTTAGAAATGACTATTTGAGGATCTAAAAAGCTAGGGCAAGAAAATGTCATCATTTAATCTACTTATGAAAATGTCAGTATTTGTAAATGCTGTATCTGTAAAAAAATAGCCAAACCTATGTTACAAAAATCACAATCAGAAGTTAGGTCTGAGCACTCCACTCTTCATCCTTCCCATCTTTTTCAAGTCTTTGTGGAAATACTTAGTTTGAAAGCAGAAACAATTTCAGCTTTCTAAACCCACAGACACAAGTAAGATTTTAAATGATTAGCTTGCTCTCTCTCCCTTCTGTACTTCATCAATGAAATACCCTTCTCTACTTGGAACTCAAAGCCGCTGCTACTAAATCACAGCCATTTCCTTCCTGACCCCCAAATGCGAGCGTCCAAAAGGCAGTTTCAATTCAGCTTTATGATTGAACACCTAAAAATCAAAACAAAATTCCTATTAAGGCAGCGCCTCCAAACCATCAGCATTAAAAATACCAGGCTAGGAGAGCTGCGGTTGCGAGCAGGCTCAGGAATCGAGTCAGATGGGGGCTAGCCTGCAGAAACGCAATCGTTGCACTTAGAGGGTCCTTTTAAACAGAAATCCGGTGTGAGATATCACTTAATCCCCTAGAAATTCCCGCGACCCCCGAGTTTGCTGCCCTCCTTCGCAGAATGTGGCCCTAATTCATCTCTCCAAAAGGATAGACTGGGGGAGTTAACTGTCAGGCTGCCCCGTGCAGGAGACTCTCTTCCGTCCCTCCCCCCACCCCACCCAATTCACTGATTTAAGCCAACCACAAAATTACATCAGAAAAGTATATTTTGGAAGAAGGGCGGGGTCCGAGTAGATAATCCGCATTCAGATTAAATCTACCGAGAGAATGAGGGGAGTGTATTTGTTGAGGTCACCAACTCCCGAGAATCACGTTCAATTCTCAGGGAAAGCACTGGAGAGGGGGGAGGGTGGGCGCGGGTACTAGGGTGAGCCCCGCGCGGGCTGGGGGTGCGGGCGCTCGCGCGTGGAGGTGGGAGACTCCCGGATGATCCCACGCGCGGCCCCGGTGCGCCGGGCAGGAGCGCGCAGGGCGGCGATTCACTCGCTCCGGGCGTCCCTAATGGGCACTCGTGCATTCCTGCTCGTGCGGTGAGCGCACGCACGCCGCCGCTGGGTTTCAGGCCCCCAAATAAAGGCGGCGGCGGCGGCGGCGGGGAGGGGGGGCGCCGAGCGAAGGAGCTCCAGGCAGATTGTCTTTCTCTCCCAGGAGCTGGGAAAACGGCCAGCCCCGTGCCCTGCACGCCTGGCTCTGCTCGGCAGCCTGCCGGTGAGCGGAGAGCCGGTGGAGCAGCAGCCGCGCGTGGTTCGGGTCTTGTCACCATTTCTGCGCCTGCTGACCTGCCCTGGAGAGGGAGAAGGCGGCAGCACCTCAGAGGTACGCTTTGCGCCACCTCCCCCGGCCCCTCCCCGGAAAGCAATGCCCCGGAGGGGGAAGTTCCCAATGCGATCGGTCTCGCCTACAAAGTTCTTGGATGTCGGGCATCTTTTGAGGAGGGGCAAAGTGGTCCTGTCGCGGCCGGGGGCTGGGAAGAGAAGTTCTCCGGGCACAGGGCGCAGGCCGGCTCCGGGGACCCTCCTTGCCTCCCGCGGGCCGGCCGGGATGGAGCGGGGAGCTTTGTACCGGACCGGGGACTCCGGGGCCGGCACTGGCCGTGTCAGGCGCTGCCGCTTTTACCCTCGACCCCGGGGAGGACAGCAACAAGTCCTGCTCCAGCCATTTCATCACCCTGCCAGCACGTGCGGAATCCCGGCGCGCGGAGCCTGGCGCGGACCGCTCTCGCCTCGCCTCGCGCTTTCCTTCGCACGTCCTGCGCCACCCCAAGAGTTTGCGCGGCCCCTAGGTGGGCTCTCAGTTCCGGGCAAAGCGCCCGCGGCGCGCTGCGTGGGTGCACGGTGTTGTCTCCCGGTAGCTCCCCGCCGCGGGGGCGCTCGCACTTACCTGTGTTCTGCAGGGACAGGCGGCCTTTCTGTTGGGAGCCCCTGTCTTGGGGACCCTCCGGCGGGTTGGTGGCGTCGGTTCCCCGCGCCGGGTCGAAGGTGGCCAATACCAAAGCCAGGGTCACGAACTGGCCCAGCCGCTCGGCACACATGGTTCTTGGTGTAAACCTCCCGCCCGGAGACCTGGATTCTTTGTGCTCCCCTCCTCCTCTTCCTCCTCCTTGGCCGCTTCCCCTCCTCCTCCCACTCTTCCTCCTTGCTCGCCTTTTCCCTCCTCCTCGCGGCCGCAGCTCGGATAGAGGTTACCCAGCGCCCTCCCGTAGCTCTCTGGAGAGCATGTGACCAGGCCGTTAGCAGCGCCGCGAGTGCCCGGCAATGGCAGGGATGGTGCCTCAAATATCCCTGGAAGCTCTGGTGTCACTTGAATGAAGGAGTCGAGCAGGTGTTGTCCCAGCGGCTGGACCAATCCGAGACCCCGGCCCGTTTGACAACACGGTTGGGAGGCGGGGCCTGCGCCCAACTACTACAGGAGGAAGCGGAGCTCGGCTGGGAGCGCCCGACAAAGTTGCCGACCTGGCGGCGGCCACGCGTTTGCGTGCGTGTGTGAGTGTGAGCGTGGCCGGAGATGCGTGCGCGTGTGCGGGTGATCGAGGGCAATGGCTGAACGCACTTTAAAAAAACAAAAGCGAATTCCAGCTCCGATTGTAGCTAAAGAAAGGCGGGAGGAGACGGTTTGCGCTCGG